AAAAAAAAAAAAAGAAACCTCTCTTTCTCTTTTCCTTTTCACACTGCTTGTTGCTGTAGACATGTGTTATAGTTTCTCTTTGCGTGACGCGGATAAATGTGTATATATAATTTTGTGCATGACTTAGAGGTATAAAATTTCTCTGAAAACAAAGCATATTTGTCATTCCTTTTCTTTCAGCTATTCCTTTCCGTCCGTGAAATAAAGTGTTATTATATCATGGGTTTAATAATGCTCATAATAGGGGAAATCAAAACTGTGAGAATATTATTTACTTCCATAACCCGCCCATCATCTTGAGACTTATCATAATATTAACCCCATTATCATGATTGTATTGAATCCATGACTTGTTCTTTCTTTCGCTGTTTGCTGTGACATTGAATTATACTTCCATACACCCTGTCAGCATTGTCCATTTCAACACACCTTTGATTATAATTTACCCGACCTCATACGAGAAGACAAAGTTCAAACCGGGACAACCATGAACCGCCTTGTTACGCTCATAGGGTTGAATCACTCTCATTCCATTCGTATAAAAAATGGATGTTCTACTCAGACAGTTTTTTCTCTATACCCGCTCTTTGTGAACACTACAATCCTTACCTCTTCGAGTCAAGGGTCAATATCGCCATAATCTTCATTTCCTATTCACTCGTCTAACGTTCATATCACCCTCTTCATTCAGTAATTCTCTACCTTAAGTGGCACTTTAGCCTTGCATTAGGTGAACATTTAAAAAATAACCTTCACGCCTCGCAACGTATCCAATAAATTTAACAATTACTGTGAGGAAATTTCTAAATCAAGATTTTGCAAACAGGTGTATCGGAAGGCGATGTTCAGTCGAATGGCCTCCTAAGACTCCACGTACAACACTACTTTTTTTCCCTTTGGGGCTTTCTGAAATCAGACGTCTGTTGGTATCGATCATGAACAATAGCGGTTCTAAAGGTGTGGCACTGCATGTAGCAACATTAGTTTTCGTCCATTTAACATTCTTGTATTTGTGAAGCCCAAAGTCAAAATTCGAGAAATTGCTGTAATTAAAATTTTAAATAATTTTTGGCCTATGGAGCCAGACATTTGCGACATGATATAGTCTCGTCGATCCAAAACAGAGAAAAAAATGAAATCACGCAGAAAAGAATCAATTCGAATAAAGAATAAAACAACATCTTAGATACTTTATTGATCTTTATTTACTTTTTAAATGATTTTTTTTATTTATTTCTTCCCAAATGAATGGTTTGAATAAGAAATGAAGAATTTTGGCGCGTATGGCCCAAGGACACTGGGTAGAGGGCGTTATAATAGGAATAAAATTGGTAAACAATAACAATATTATTATTAACATCATCATCATCAACAACAAGAAACGGTGACCAGTTGAGGAAGTTCTCACATTTAACAAGTTCCTCATAGATATATATGTATGTTTATATGTATGTATATAGATTGATAAATAGATAGTGAATTAATTAGTTAAACGCATTAGATAGTGACATAGATAGTGAATTAATTAGTTTCATCTTCCAGCGAATTTTGGATTCCAAAATTCGTTTGAAGATGAAACAGAACTAATGCTTTTAATTTAATTATATAATTAAATTTGATTTTTTTTTTTAGCTTCGAATTTTGAAACACGGTAATTCCTGTGTAGCGAAGAAACCATATATTTTAAATCAGTTAATTTATATATATATATATATATATATATATATATATATATATATATATATATATATTATTCCAGCTGAGGTGCTGTCTGTCGGCCATTAGTCTATGTTTCATTAGAACATTGTGAGTTCACAGAATCAACATTTAAAACATTTTTTCTCTATTTTTTCATAGTCATATTCGTGAAATAGTTTCCGAAATTCACTAAGTCAAAATTGTTTGATTGATTTCCATATATTTTTCTCGGACGCTCATATCTGCTCGAAGCGTATCTTAACGTAAAAAAATGACATCATATATTATGAAATGGACTAAATTATGAAATGGGAAATTTGTTGTTCAAAAACAGTAATTTTGACTTTACTGACCAGACTCTTTCTCTGTAGCTAAATGTTATGGCACGTCAGGCGATATAACAGTTCCGTGTAAGATACAGGTTCGATTCCTGTCGGAGGACACATAGGTTCTTTGATATTTCTCGAACATTCAGACCGGTAAATTTAGTTAATACTGTTTATTTGTATCTATGAAAATAAGGTGTAAACAGAAAATATATATATATATATATATATATATATATATATATATATATATATATATATATATATGGAGAAATAGAGAGAGGTGGGTGGGTTACTGAAAAAATTCTCATCAAAGTAAGGAAATATAAAGGAATAAACGTGCAGTCACTCCTAACTATGATCAACTATTCTAGTTTTTCTCTGACAATTTCTAGTTACAGCTACAAATGTTATGGTTTGGGATTTCTCCATCCACCATCTTGTTTTTTTCAAAGCTAATATTATATCCAATTATTGTCTCCTTAAATTATAACAACCGACTCACTCTGGAGGAAATGAAAGACGTCAAAACTAGTAGCATTTTTATTTTTGTGAAGATTTTTATAAGAAAAAAAAACGAGCAATACAGCAACTTAAACTAATAATCAACAAAGAAATTTATCCAAGTGAAAAAAAAAAATGTATTAATTCCGTAAAGAAAACTGTTGAGTAATTTATGGAAGTCTAGAACAGGAAAGAGAGTCTCATAGTAAAATATTGTATGAGCCAATCTTCCGAGAAACAGAGAAGACATCGATTTGCGTCAGATGAAATTCTAGACGTGAAGACTTGCCTACCATCCTATATTGGAGCTGATAAGCATTCACGAGCATACAAGCGCAAACGCGCGCGCGCGCACACGCACAAACATACACACACACAAGAAAATACGCACAAAACGCACATCACATGCACAAATACACACACACACCCAAACACACACACATGAGAAGAAAACACACAAAACACATGCATACGCACACACACGCACACATGAAAACACACACAAAGCACACACATCACACTCAGACACACACACACACTTAAATACACACACAAAGAAAACAAACACAAAACATACTTCACACGCACACGCAAATAAACACAGGCACATACAAACTAGAAAACACATACAAAACACACACGCACATCAGAAGCACAGACACACGCACAAATACACACACATGCACGCAAGAAAACACACATGCACACGCATGCGCATCACACACACACGCAAGAAAACACACATGCACACGCATGCGCATCACACACACGCAAACACACTCACACACACACGCGCAAACAAACACACACGCACACACACACAAAACAGACACACACGCACTCACGCATAAATATAGAGTTGATCTGAACAAAAACCTCATTTGTATGTATTCAAGAAACAATAATTTTATTTTGCGTTTCTAAGCTCGGCACGAGTCATTCTCATTCCCTGTGTATTCCATAAGTAAGGAGGAAGCTCCATTCATATGAACAGACTTCGGATAGGATGATTCCCCGATCACTACCATCTTAAACTCTCCAAATCATAGGTCAGCCGTTATCTATCTTACATATCTTCATAATCTGCCGTTCTGATGTCCTATACCTTGATGTCTAACAACAGCATTCAGTAGCCCTCTATCTTGAGTGGCTCTTAGGTTTTGCATTAGATGAACACTAGTATAAAAATACTGTTAATGATGTGATAAAACAGGGAGATATTCACGAAACTACACTTTGCCTTATTAGGATTGAATAATGATTATCAATTAGGCAAGTATTTCTTTACGTGTATTCTCTGACGAATAATACACCCCCTATCCGAGTGTATTATGAAAGTCAATCTTTTTATTGTGAAATTAATACAGACCAAAAAATATAAGCAAGAAAATAAAAATGTATTTGTTTTAATCATTTCACTCCAAGTAAGAGAATAAAGCCATTAAGACGCAAAGGTCTAAACAGAATATGATTAAAAGAAAACATTATTAAAGAATGATAACAACAAAAGATCAAGAATTAAAACAGAAGATAACGATTGGCATTGAATAGAAATGTTTGAAGATCAAATTTGACTGGAAAGCAAGAAGCCAGAAGAGAGTTCTACAAGTGAGAGGTTCGATAAAAAGAACCCAAAAAAAACTGTTCAACTGTAAAATAATGAGACCTATCTGCCAATCTAGATGTAGGCTTCATTTTGTAAAATCGAGGTAGCTAAGAGGAAAGCTTCCCAGAACATTTGCCATGAAACTATTCACAGAAAAGACACAGGAAACCATTTTCCGTGGTGAGTAAATGGTAAGCTGATTTATGTGCCAAATATGCCATAAGAATTACATTTTTTTTAAATCGTTTTACTCCAAACAAGCCGACAATGGTACTAGACCGTAGGGTGTTACAGGAGGTAAAAATGAAAGACAACGAGAAGACTGAGAGTCGATAGGAAAAAAGGAAGAGGGTTTAAGAAGACAGAAGATGCCGATTGACATTGCATTTAAATTTTTGAAGACAGTAGTTATCAGTTTAGACCTCCAGAGACTAGGCATTCCTCATAACTAAGAGGAAGAAAGAACAGATACTACACTTAAATCCCAACCCGGTAGTTAGGGTATAATACTTGGTCAATTTAATGTTGGGTACTCATACGCCTACTTATGGGCCAAGGACAAAATTACCCAGTTTCTGCAACCACTGTCATATTGGCATCCTTATCCAGCGAGGGACGTGCTGTCGCAGGGTTGGACCTCCCGAGACTAGGTATTCCTTATTCCTGGTTTGTCCTTCGGTTCTGAAGAAGACTTTGTGTTGCAATTCATCAGGTTGATCTGGAGGAATTTTCAAAACAGGCATGTGTCAGAAGAATTTGTAGTGGGGACATCGTTGCATTGGGGTAACACCACTCTTTCGGCCTGAGAAATTTTTATCCGGTAGCACGAGGAATCACTACAACCGGAGATTTCCAGGCTGCAATAGATGACCAAGACTTCTATGTGTCACGTCCATACTCTGCAGCACTCAACGGGACATGCGGACACCGCCTTTGGATTTGTAGGAGATCTCATCCACTCACTTCATCGTAAATCAGTCTTCACACGCAGTCGGGTTGAGAGAAGCGAAATTATCCGGAAGATAAAACGTATCGATTACCTTCCACTTGGTTTCTCATCGACTCCCCGCCCCACTTGGTTTCCCATCGACTACCATCCAGTGGGTTTCCCATCGATTACCCTCCTACTTGGTTTCCCATCGACTACCCTCCAGTGGGTTTCCCATCGATTACCCTCCTACTTGGTTTCCCATCGACTACCCCCCACACTTAGTTTCTCATCGACTACCCTCCACTTAGTTTCCTATAGACTACTCTCCACTTGGTTTTCCATCGACTACCCCCCCACTGGCTTTCCCATCGACTACTCTCCACTGGGTTTCAAATCGGCTACCTCCACTGGGTTACCCATCGATTACCCTCCTACTTGGTTTCCCATTGACCACTCTCCACTGGGTTTCCCATCGACTACCCCCCGCCACTTAGTTTCTCATCGACTACCCTCCACTTGGTTTCTCATCGACTACCCTCCACTTGGTTTCCCATAGATTACCCTCCACTTGGTTTCCCATAGATTACCCTCCACTTGGTTTCCCATAGATTACCCTCCACTTGTTTTCCCATAGATTACACTCCTCTTGGTTTCCCATCGACTACCCCCACTTAGTTTCCCATTCACTACCCTCATCTTGGTTTCCCATAGACTAACCTCATCTTGGTTTCCCATCGACTACCCCCACTTAGTTTCCCATTCACTACCCTCATCTTGGTTTCCCATAGACTACCCTCATCTTGGTTTCCCATAGACTACCCTCCTACTTGGCTTCCCATCGACTACCCTCCTACTTGGCTTCCCATCGACTACCCTCCTACTTGGTTTCCCATCTATTACCCTTCAATTGGTTTTCCATCGACTCCCCTCATGTAATTTTCAAGGCTTTTTACCGCGGTGGGGCCGCTGCTGTGGGCAAACAGCTATGTAGAGCTAGAGGTGAGATTCGGGAGCTAACCTAATAAATTCCTTCTATTGTAAGACGTTTTTGTTGCGTTTAAAATATGTTTTTCATATCGAACACTAGCCTGGTTCATTCGCCAATACAAAATAATACTGGGGCATTATAACGTAATATCGTTACCCTCACAGTAGGCCGTTAGTGAGACAAGGATAAACATACAAATATCCCATACGCCATAACAATCATAGATATCATTTTATTAACATATTTGATAAGATTCCATGGGGCGAAGCTAACATTTTTGGGGATTACATAGAGACGGGATTCGAGGCGAAGCTAGCTGAAATTGCTAAATGTAACCTACGTTTAATTAGTTCTATGCTAACAGTGTCTTCTCTCCCACTTCTCGCCTACGGTGCACTCTTTGAGCTTCTTGCTTTCCTGTCAACTACAATCTGCAAATATGTCAATGCAACGTCAATCGTCACCTATCACCTTGAAGCCTATTCTTTCTCCTCAGAAAAGTTTTCTTTACTCTATTGTCTTTCATCTTCAGTAACCCACTGCATCTTAGTAGATTTATCGCCTTGATGGGAAATGATTACAAAAAGAACTTAGGTTGCTGGCTCGTTTAAGTGAAAGAAAACACTGATAGAAAACCTCCGCTGCCTTGTTGCAACAACCACACATGGGAAAGGCTTTGAGATTCAACTCTGAGAAAAAAAAAATCTGGTAAAACGCCCGGAAGATATCCGACAGTTTGTGGCTGTATTCAGTTACAACCTGGAAACTCCTACAACGGCACTGGAGCCATGTGTATCGGCCCTTGCCTTTTCATTGAATATTCTCAGCGATATAGGGAGGATGATTACTGCATGGGTATCGGTCTTTTTTCCGTTAGAGACCTACCAAGGCCGTATGCAATGTAGAAACAGGACATAGTAGTTAACATTTAAGAAGTTTAATTCTCAACTGGCGTAGAGAATTGAATTGTCAAACTATAACAGACGCTGTGCCTAAAACAACACCCAGAGAACAAATCTATATTTTCCTGGGGGTGACGAGTGCCTATTCATATAGAAAATAAAGGTTGAAATTATTGCCGGCAAAGTTATTGTTGGACAGTGCTAATTCAGTCGGGAAGCCATCTAAAAATGGTTCAATCAGAAGTCAAAGAACATGCTCAACAACAACAATATATATCATGTCGAGGTAATGTCTTGATTAGAGTATCAAACCCAAAGAAAGCTGCATATAGTCTGCATAATATCCGTAAGTTTTGACTATTCGATAGTCGAAAATAAACTGATAGAATTCAACTGCTGTCATTTATGTAGAAGACATTTTAGATCATCAGATTTATAGCAATTTTAAAGTGTCATCTATTCATAAGAATAATATTGCTCCGACAGTAATCAGTAGAAATTCTCTTGAGAGAATGTCGCCTCTATTGACATAGAATCTTTTGTTATAACGTAACATTTAGCTAATAACAATAAACATCTGCTTATGAGGACAGAACACCAATTAAGTCGTCGTTAATTGGGGATTCATTGAGTAGCTCAATAGGCTAGATTTAACAAAAGTCGAAACGTAACTATTATGTATTCAATATAATTTCAAATAAAAGAAAATACGAATAACACTTATTCGTGTTTGGTTTCATTATTAATATTTATTTTCACTATTTGAAGAAGCCCAGCGTTGGATGTATTTAAATCTATTGTTGCCGCAAGAATTCATTTAAAAGGTTTTCTTTTTTATCGGGTTGTTACCAAAATATCCCCAAGACTGTTATTAGTTCTATTCAAGCCAACTGCATTGAATGATGCATCGATTTAAATGTCTAGAAACCTCAATTGAATTATAAATTCATTGATATTTCTTCTTTTTTTTTCCTTCTCCAAATATTCCGTAGAAATAATTAAAAATCCAAACAAATTCCACGTGATATTTTCCAAATAAAATAAATAACTCATTTATTATCAGATCACAAGAGAGATATTGGACTGGGTTGATTTGAACCTTACTGCAAGCGCCTAAAGAAGGAAAATAGACACGGCGACGAAATGTTTCTTTAAAATGTTGAAATTAATAAATATAGTAGGAAAGTTTTGACTGGAACCGGAACGAAACCATTCGTCAAACGGAGGCAAATTTAAAAGATGAAATTAGGAAAGCAATAATAATAATAAAAAAAAAAAAAAAAAAAACCTAGAAATACAAAGAAAAAGTAAATTCCGGCGTTTGCTAATCACGTGATTTTTACAAATATTTGGAACTGAATAATTTATTATTTTTGGCTTAACGCATACTTTCCCATAACACACGCACACACACACACACACACACACACACACACACACACACACACACACACACACACACACACGAATAATCATATACGATTTTACAAGTATTTGTAACTTAATAACTTATAACTTTCGGCTTAACACATATTTTACCAGTAAATACACACATATATGCATAGGATTTTGCAAGAAATTGTAAGTGAATTATGAAAAGTAACATTCATAATAATATTAAATGATGTCTGATTAAAAAAATGAATATGCATATATATATGTATATATATATATATATATATATGAATATATATTATCAGAGTTGTACTAACGCTGAGGAAAAATGAATATTCACTATTACTATATATATATGTATATAAAGTATATATATTAATATATATATATATATGTGTGTGTGTGTGTATGTCTGTGTGTATATGTGTGCGTAAACAAATCTGTTTATATATATATATATATATATATATATGTGTGTGTGTGTGTGTGTGTGTGTGTGTGTGTGTGTGTGTGTAAATAAATCTGTTAAGAAGCCGGAAAATATACCGTACCACAGAACTGTAAAAGCAGTAATTAATCGCAAGTCAAGCGCAAATATAAACAATTAAAAAATGGCATGGTTACCAATAACATATATATATATATATATATATATATATATATATATATATATATATATATATATATATATATATAAGGAATGTTCGGAAATGATTCAAACATTATTAACTGGAAGTATCCAAGTCTACTTCAAAAAGCTTCTCTTAATGTAGTTCAAGTTTTCCTTCAACTCTGCATTTTAAATTAAAATGTCTTTCAAGTTTACTTTGAAGATTTCTACTAGATGTCTCATTAGATTTGATCTCAGCTATAATCTGAAATTTCATCACATTCAACGGTTAGCTCTAGACAAAGCCAGATGTCACAGGCAGACAAATACTGATTTTAGTTTGGCGCTAATACCTTTTCGTGTTACGATATTTTCGGGGAAAAATATGCTCAACAAATGAAGGACGAAGTATCAAGAAATTCAAAAAGGCTAGATACCCTTCAAACACTCCGTGAAATCTCCCGAAATACCTCACTGGTACCCCAAACGCATGAATTTAAGCGTGCTACTAGGTTGGCACCCTTTAACTGTCAAAAACAGTTAAATGTAACCGCCTTTTCTACCCTAAAAGCTTCTTCTTGTTCCGCACTTCACGACAGTGGAACTCCCTTCCTCCTAATTGCTTCCCTTATAGCTATAATATTCAAATATTTAAGTGTAATGTCAATCGACATCTTTTGAATCCTTGATCCTGATCCACGTCCTTCTCTATATCCTTTCCTCAAAAACCACCCTCTTTACTCTTGCTCTCACTCTCCGTAAGCCCTTGAATGCTAGTGGCACTTCCGCCGGGTGAAATGCTTAAAAAAAAACTCCACTTGCGCTGTCAATCACCAATTGCTTTTGATTGCAACCCGCTTGCGTTCAACAATATTGGATGTTCGCTGAAAGCCTGCCGGAAACTGGATTGCATAAACACTTAAACGAAGGGAAAAGGTTACACGAATGTGTGCGCCAAACTGATAAAATACATTTTATTTTTAAAGGACGCACCAAGATATAACGTTTTCGTTCACTTCCGTTGTTTATCGCAGTCCTTGGAAGGAAAGTGTGTAGAGTGTGGTCGTCTCCAACAGTTTAATCTGGCGCTGGAGGATGTTCCAACGTTCTGCCAAGATCGTGAGAGAGCTAGAGGGAGCAGGTGACTGTCGTGAGCTCACTGACTTCATGGTAGGTATCTAAATTTTAATTGTGGTTCACTCCTTGAATAATCTTCGTGGATCTTCCTTTGAAAAGATTTCGCAGACGAATAACCATGTTTGAAACAAAAACTGCTGCTGACGTAAATACAAGTCAAAATACTCTCTAACAAATTATACAACAGACTAAGTAACCAGGCAGGAGAGTATCTGCTCACATATGCGCAGTAAAGTCACCTGTAGTTAGCTGTAAAATTACACGAAGGCCACGAAACGGAATCTTGAAGGATCCAGAAAATAGATGGACACTTTAGACTTATGTCCGTCAATGAGTATACACATATGAGGATATGTAGATTGTAAATATTTTGCAAATTCCTTTTCACATAACGCAATAGCTTAGACTGATCATCGTAAAAAGCGTTTACAATTAAAAAAAAAGGTTTTGTTACAACTACACTGGACAGAGTAACTAATATCAACACAAATTTGTAATGGACCTTTTTCAAAATATGTTTTAATTTTAGTATCTTTACTCAGAGGAATGATGAATAGCGGCTAGGATTGAGGAATCGGAGAGCCGAGATCGAATTCCACTCGACATCATTACATACATTTATGTACCTTCCCCTCTCAGCTATGGGTAAATAGCAGGACAGACGGGATTCTAAAGCCTTGAGTGGTAACCTATCTAGAGGGAAGGAAAATTCAAACCAGTCTAGAGAGGGTTGTGCTCCGTCAGGCTATCTTGCCCCAGACACACCACTTCTACTGCGTGCCCCTATAACTCTACCGAGTTACGGGAGTCGTGATCGTGACTTCTTTAAATAATTCCTAGCATTCATATTTGTGATTGTTATCGTAATATTAAAGTTGTTTAACCCAAATATTTAACGAA